GTGCACAATACGTGACTAAGACAAAATGTGATCAGATGCAGTTCTGGCATTCTGCCTCCTTGCACTGCAGTAGCAAGGTGTTTAACAGCTCTATGCTGTCCATGCTAATGAAGAGGAATGGCTGTGACTAGTAAGGGAGGACTAGAGGGTTGTAACTCCAGACTTCAGGAGGAGATTGGATGCAACAGACTAATTTTTAAAGTGATAACTTTTTTTGTCACATTCTCTTTCTCAAAAAATGCTTTTTATTTGGTTGCTGATCATACCCACAACTGCACATGATGGCTGTACTGAAAGAAGGTTAAAGAATAAAGGTTAAAGAAGGCTCAGCAGTCAGGAAATGCCTTGGGCAAGCATTCCACACAATGCTAAGTTGGCACTCCTGGGTTAGATTGCATTCCACCTATTAGGTATGTAAGTGGATGTAGGCACCTAAGCACCACTGCATTCCACCCTGACTGAGTCTCTGATAAACAGTTCATTCAAAGGCAGGTGTGACAGTCTTAAAGATAAGGTGGGGGTTGTTTCAGAAGTAGAGGCATTAATGGATTTTCAAAGATTTGGGCAAGGTGGAATAGAATCCCACTTACGTATCCAATATACAGAATTTGTTCTGGCCCCATGCCTGTGCATTGGGATACAATCTTTATTAGCACCCAGTTTTCCCCCATGGAATGTTAGTCTCCTTCACTGAAATGCTCCGTGAAAGTGACAGCTATTAAATATTTGATCCTCACCATTCAGCATGTGGCCTCAGATTTCATAACCTGCCCCACCATTCCAGCCCACCCAGAATTTCAGTGCATTCTTTCTTCCTTTTCTTTTTCATGTCCTTGTGACAAGGTATTTAACAAAATCTCCAAATGTATTAGAATGGGGACAGGCTGTGCCATAAGTGCTTCTGCTATGGCTTCAAACTTGAAATTGCTGGGCTGTCAACTATGCACTATAGTGCCTTTACCCCCCCAGCCGCTGTGCATACTTATTCAAAATAGCCAAACAATTTTCTACCCACACAGTCCAAAATTATTTGCTGTTACACTGCAATTGTAGTCTGCAGGATAAATGTTTGAAACAAGTTATAAACATCTGTAATATTACTTACTGTTAATAAAAAATCACACCAAACCTCAACTGTACCTTCATACTGCAGCAACCAGGGAATCATGGCAAGTGTTTTAAAAATATTTTTCTCTATTAAATATACTTCTGGCTAGAAGTAGTTACATTTGCATGGTTTTGGACATTTTATTATAAAAACAAAAGTTTTTTTGTCTGTACCTACCCTAAGCCACTAACTTGATCTAAGTTACATGATTTTCTGTAAGCGGAGTAGTTTAGATTAATAGCAAACAGAACATACATTTGCCCTTTGTGCAGGGCAAATCTTAAAACAGGGTCTGCCATTTTTAAACCAGTCTGTGTGCTGAACTTCTGTTCTGTTATGGTTATTTTTTAATTTTTTTTTTGTAAAAATATATTTATCTCTCTATATATATGTTTATATATATCTCTAAACCAATCCCATTACAGAAAAACCGCACCCACACTCCCATGCACCCGTACAGAGGCCCGTTGGCCACCTGTACCCGTTACAATGTCCGCAAAACACACAAAATACACTCTCAGTCCTATCTGGTATCTCCGACCAGCCCTCTCTTCACATCCACCCATGCCCCGCTTCCGGGGTCAGGTACTCAGTTCACGGGGTCTCTTCGTCATTGTTGCTCCAGCTTCTGCTGGAGGACCCGCTGCTGCTGCTGTTGTCACTGTTGCTGTCCTCCATTCCACTTGTCTGTTCATCTTTTCCACTGCCGTCGCTCTCTGTTATAGATATAGACCAGTTTCTGATCACTTATATCACTAAAAGTGTAATGTCTGTATCTGGCCCAAGGGTTTCCTGAAGTTTATGCACTCAGAGGTGTAGGGAGACCCTGCAGTGCCCTGGTCCAAGTGCTGACCACTGGAGAGCTAGGAAGGGGATAGGGAATCTTACCTGGTTTATCTCTCCACTCTGGCAGCAGCTACTGCTGCTGTCATAGCATGGGCATAGACGGTTACAGCTGAGGAGCAAGCTCACTGCAGCAGGGGCACAAGAATGCCCCTCTCCCCACACCCCTGGGTCTCCTCAGAAATCTGTCTTATGCAGGTACAGCCCTGCATGCAAAGCCATAGAAGCTAAGCAGTACAATGGTGCCCCCTGGAATTTTTGCCATAGGAGTCCAAAGTAATGCAGGTATAGCGTGCCCCAAATCCCTAGCTCCCACTGTCTTGTAGGTACTCCTTAGTTGGAGAAAGGATAAAGGGAGATGGCCCTAACTGAAATGTGCCCTCTCTGAGGCTTGAGCAAATCAGCAGCAGTTCTTATCTGTTGCTGTCTGGCAGAAGCTCCAACCATTGAGACACTGAACATCTGGACTCAGTCTGGACTTTGGATTCTGTCTCAATGGTCTAAAAGGGGGATGGTAGGTTTTGGGAAGCCTCCATTCCTCCATATTCTTGGCTAGGTGTATGCATCAAAGATCTTGTTGTGATGGTCTCAGGACTTTGTGCAAGTGGGCTTATCAGGCTCCTGACTAGACCTCATACATGTATACCATGATCCAGAGGATTGATGGTTGCCTACACATTATACTAACAGCAGGGACTGAACATTTTTGTTTTGTATGAAGAACATGAGATAACTTCCCCAAATTCACCATACATAATTTGTAAACTATTTACACCTAATAGGTTAGATACTGTGAGAATTTTCAAGTTAATGGGAAAATTAGTTTGAAGATCAATTCAAAACCTACTACAGGTCAACTTAAGAAGTTTGTCCTTGTAGGTGTCACCTTGTGGTTATGTTCACCTAGCTGATATGGCACAGCCTTTTTAAAAATGTGCTTTCTCCTTATTCAACATAGTATTAGTGAATCTATCACCTGGCTTGTGGATGAATATTTTGGACATCAGATGAACAGTTTGATACCTAAACTTTTATTTTGAAAATAAAATGCTGTAAGCCTCCACGACTGTGAAAAAATACTTTGAACTATAAATTGTATGCTGTTTATTTCCATATCCCCATCACACAGTAAGGTTAGGGCTGTTTTAAAATTTTGCTAGCAAAGCACTGGAGTATAATGTGGTCAATAATCTTCCCTCCCTGTAATGATGTTGAAATAAAATCTTTAAAATGCTGAATACATTTCTGTATGAAGCTCATGCACTTGCAGATGACCTGGCCCAGCAGATTTTCTATTCTTAAACAATAGCCTTACATTTGCTGTTAAAACATACATTTTTCTCCTTCTATTGAGTATGCTGTTTATTCTCTGCTTTGCTTTCTTTTAATGACCTTTATTTAGGAGATGCTGTTGGTGGTGGCGTAAGTATTTTCTAAAGGTTTTGTAGCATTTTAGATCGTTATCTTTCTTTTTTCAAAAAATAACTGCCTCCTTGCATTTAAATTGGTTAGAGTAATAGAAGTGAAAGATGGAAGGAAAAAAAAAGACATCCATAAAGCCCTGTTTTCTAGAAGGATACCAGCATATAGGTCTAGGTTTTTAAGATATTGATTTCAGTGGGAGTTATATGCCTGAACACCTTTTAAAAATCTGGCTCTTAGACCCTCAATTGCCTACTTGGCACTTGACAATGGAATTAGGTTCCTGAATCAAAGGCATTTTTGCAGATTTTATACCATAACATATATAACCTGTTGTGTGTTCTCTTAGTCCTCTCTTAACCAAGCTGTACAGTAGCTTGTTTCTAACAAACCAGTCCCTTAGCTCCTCTCTTTCTATTTTAGCTGTTTTTTGAACACCACTTGATTTGTCTGTATCATTCTAGTAATAAGATATTTGGAAAACCATTTAAGTAATCTAGGTATGGGATCTTCACTTCAACAAAGTGTTTACACACAATATTTCACTTTAAGCATGAGTATACTTCAGAACAGTAGCATGCTTTAGTGCTTTGTAGGCAAAGGCTACAAAGCACTTTGTTTAGGCAAGGCTAGAGAGAGAGGTTATTAACTTTGTGTCCTGATGACTTTATAGTTGTCTTTTCTAAATTGAATCTTTTTATATTCTCTCCCCTATACCTATACCTGTCATCTTTTTAAGGTCCTCCCACCCCCCTGATATCAGTGCTTGGGTTTTGTTTCTTCATACGTTAGTTTATATTTTTTCAGTGTTGAATCTCATATTGTTTTCAATTCTTATATTTGCAGTCTCTTTAGACCCCTTTATGTGATTCTTTTTCCTATTTTAGTTCTGCACGTTATTACTTTTATTGTTTAATTTTATTGATTGGTTGCCTTAATTTCTCAATTAGATCATTAACTCATAAATGAAACACTCCAGTAAATGCCACCTCTTAATTTGATACACTGATCTCTGTACATTCTGGGTTTATCTCAGTAGTTCATAGAGGGTACAGTAGTTCTGAATGTTATATGCCGTATCAACAATGGTTCTTAATTATTTTTCCTTTATCCATAGCAGGGCTCCAGTTCCAGCTCCATTTTATTTAAAGTATAGTTATAGTATCAGAGAATTGGATTAGGGAGTTCATAGTTTTCTGCTTTTTGATCCTGGTGAACATATTGGCTTCTGGGCTGGGTCACAATCTTTCCTAGTAAGAGGCTGGCAGAGGCAGACCCAGAGGCATATAGTGGTGCAGTTGCATTCCCCTTTAGCTGTGTGCTACATGTGAAGTGAACTGCCAGGACCTCATCAGCATGTCAGCACAGCTTTACATGTGCTCTGAGCTCTATGAGCTCACTGCCATGGGGTCTGTGCAGATACTCTACTTTCAAGGAGTTCTGTAGCTTGCTACTCTTTGTTCTTTCCTCCCCTCCCCCTGCCCTCCCACTCCCACCACATTCACCAGTAGG